TGTAGATCTCTATGGCCTTGGAGAAATGAAACAAGGGACTCGTCAGCTTGAAGTTTCATCTCATTCCACTGACTGCATGTAAGCGGGAGTTAATAGCCACGAGGGGTCAATGCCGAGGGGCATTCCTCCTGGTGAAGGGCCGACGTCATCAGCGGATAAGTTTGGAGCTAACGCGAAGAAGGCCGGGCCAGTTCATGCCATGTGACTTTGTTGCTGAACTAAGCACGTGACTTGAGCCATCAGGTAAGGTGCCTTAGGTAAGCGTAGCTGTGGGTGGCAGAAACTTCAGATCGTCGACTTCAGGTGGTTTGCAGGGTCCAGCGGTAACCACACGATACGCCAATTACCGCGGCCAATCGCTTTCAGCCCGGTCCTCGAGGTCCATACATAGTCAAACCACATCTTCAGTTACTTGTATAACTATATCCTCGTCACAGGACCCTCGACGACAGCCCATCAAGTCACAATGGAGTTTCGAAGCCTCGTCCGACCAGCCGCCAGGCTATTCAGCCCTCGTGCTGCCCTTCCTATCGCTCCTTGCCGTGGCCACAAGACAACAAGCCGAACAAAACGATCTTTAAAGATTGCCCCTCATGAGTCCTTTCTCCCAGACCGAAAGGCAGCATTCCCGGCCTCCGACTCTATCATCTACAACCCGCCTTCTTCCGAGGCCTCTCCTCTTCACACACCTTTCATCTTCCTCCCACATAGCGACCCCCGCCGTGCCGCTCTCACACGAATGCGGCATACCCCAGGATCTCCTCTAGAACCTATCACACCCGGCAAACTTGCCCCAAAGATGGACTATCCTCGCCGCAATCCTGTATACAACCTCAAGGCTGAGGATATCAGGGAGATGAAGCGACTAAGGGCAGACGATCCCGTTACATGGAGTGTGAATAAACTGGCTGAAAAGTTTGGCTGCTCGCCTGTTTTCGTCAAGATGGCTGCTCCTGCACCCAAGTCGCACCTTGAGGGTCTTAAGCGCAAGCAGGAGAGGAGGGAATCACGATGGGGTGCTATTCGAACCGCCGCAAGAGAGGACCGCAAGAGGAGGACAGACATGCTGTACCGTGGCGAGTTGTAAGGAGTTTATTCCTCTGTGTGTCGGCGTGGCACAGTCTATCAGACTTGTACAAACATGGAAAATTACCTGAGTTGATGTAGGATTATGGTCATGGAGAATGAAGTGAAATGCGAATAGTGTTGATTCCTGCCCAACGATAGGATAAAATCTGTATAATTTCCAAATACCAAAAACTCCCTGAATACAATAGGCTATTGTATTTTTACCCGTGTCTCACTATCTCGTGTATCATGAGTGGCGTATGCCGACGAGTTTATGATATTCAATGCCCAACAATTCTCCAATTGTGTCCCATATGTACCCCTTGTTCCCAGATAGCAAACAATTAAAGCCAATCCAAGATGTCGATACACACCTATATACGAACATTCGTAAAACCAACCAAGTAAAACTATACGGGGTAACTTTTGTTTCAATCCAACTTCATCTCAGTCGATCTAGTAGTCGACGTCGATGTGCGACGGCTTCCTCCAGCGCTTGAAGACGATGAAGAGGGTAGCTCATTCAAGAGATCCTTTTCACCAGGGATCACACGGTTACACCAGCCGCACCACGAACGACGTTCTCCTCTAACCTCTCGGCCGAGGATACGACTACCGCTGGTGCGCTCATCATCCCACTCAGGGACACAATGGCCGACACGCACCATGCGAACACGTTTGCGCTTCACAACACCGCCAATGCCCTCGATCTCATGGCGAAGGTAGCCAGGGCCGAGTGACGGTGACGGTGTGCGCTCATGTGTAAGCCGGAGCTGGTCGATGAGTGCATCAACCGTAGCTTGTTGCGGGGCCGGAGTCGGAGCTACATTGCCGTCCCGGGCGTCCTCGGCGTCGCAATCTACCTGATGCTCGACTTCTTTGGCGGCACAGCAATCTGCTTCGCGGCCACACACGACGCCACGAACGCCCTCGCCTATGCCTGTTCCAAGGCCGCCGAGAACCTCACCGTATTGGTTTCGCCAACGCCATATACTAAGCCATCGGTCAGTATGAGAGTAAGCTTCCTTTGGAAATTAAACACATACCGCTGGTAGTCATGATCTGCGGCACGAATGCTTCGCCCACATGGCTGGCAGAGCCAAACGCCCTCGTCGGCGCACTTACAAACGTCACGCGACACCAACTCAGATGACAGTGGTACATCTGAATCTACAGGGGCCTTGATAAGAGTGGCTACAGGTGCGTGAACACAAAGTTTGCAGAGTCTCCTATGCCTCTCCTTGAGGGCGACGGAAGCCGGTGGCTTGATGGCGCAGTTCTGCAGAATTCATGATCAGTAACACGCGATTGGGCCAAAACTCGGCAGCTCGCAGCTCGCAGATCGCTGTACATACCCGGCATATCACATCGCCGCATCGACGGCACTCGCCAACCATGTCGCGAGCGCAGTCGCCTGATTTGCCATTGTAACTGCGCCCATCTTCCATGTAGAACCAATTGCCAGCGCGGGCGCGGTAGCGAAAGGTTTCGGAGCCATCAACGGGGACTTCTTCGTTCTGGCAGTGGAGGGTAGAGTTGATCAGAGTAGTACGGTACTGAATGAGGCCATGATGGATGAGTCGACAGGTACGAGAAAGAGCGTCGAGTGTATTAAGGTCGATAGATGCTGCAATGGCTTCGACGACACTGTTTGGGGGGTTAGTGGGAGTTGTCATGACATGTCAAATTCGGTATTCAATGAAGCAGCAGATATCATGATGAAGGTCAACAGCTTCAGCCACGAATCACTCAAAGCATTTGGACAGAAAATTGATTGAATAAGGGATCGCACTCACGGATAACATTGAAAGGCGTTGGTAATAGGCGCCTGAAAGGTAGAAGAGTCCATGGTGCCTAGCGGCTCTGGGTTATACAATGAATGAGGCCAAGGTCCATTCCGGCTGTTGGCAGACAACAACTGGAGCTTCCTGAGAAGAAGAAGATGCTGATCTTTTTGAGAAAGCTCACTCTGCTGGGGGTCGTCATGATGAAGAGGACCAGGAGGCGGAATGGGCGGCACGACCTCATGATGAGGTGCAGAAGCGGCACGAGGATCGTTGACGGTAAAGCCGCCAGGGCCCGCTCCAACATCCTCATCCTCCTCCAAATCCACAAAACGCGCCATGGCTTTTTTGGGCGTGTTTCTTTTGTTTCTTTTACTAGTGACTTGCGTCTTGGCACATGGAAAAACAGTAGGTACAGTGTGAGCCCACGATCCCCAGGATCTGATAAGCAGAGGGGATAGAATGGGATGGGTAGGGGGGCTCGAGTCGGTAAGAGGGGGGGGGGGGGGGGGTTCCGAGAATGATAGAACCGGATGTCGAAGGCCGGAGGAGGGCCCGGGATGCGGAACTTTGTCTAGTCGGGGCTAGACACGGCAGACAAAGGTATGCAAGAAGGGAGAGAGATCGAGAGTAGGTATGAAAAGAGAAAGGTGATGTTTAGTTACAGAATAGGACTAATGATGTCTGCAGGGGAATGAACTGGAACTGGGGCTATGATGAGTGAAAAAGAAGTGGGTTATGTTATGTTATCAATGTTACCAACGGCGGCCGGGAGTTGATGAAGCGGGGAGACGGAGCGGGACGAAAGAATCACGGAGGTAAAAGGAAGAATGAGTTATGATATGAGCTTAGAAGCAGCCATTGAAACTTCAGAACAGAGTAGTTCTCGGTGGATCCGCGTAGAATATCGTGAGTGAGATTGAGGAAATGGAATGGAATGTGAGTGAGCGAGTGAGTGAGCAAACGAATGAGTGAGTGAATAGTGGCAGTGAGATCGATTGCATCAATGAGATTCGTCGATGATGCGTCAGTCACTTGATACCAGCCACAGCTCGACCCAGACTCGAATCAAGTTAGATAACGACCCCAAAACAAGAAACTAGTATATCTACGGTAAAGTCCAGGACCAATTCCTGAAGCTTGTCAGAATTGCCAAGAACAGCATAACCCTCGAGTTCAGAACCCGATTCAAACCTATCATGGAAGCGAGTCTCGTCGTGTCTCGTCTGCCCCTCTTTGTTCCCGAGAGCTCAAGTGGATCTAGTGCTGTCAACTTTTTACTTAGACATGTACAAAAACAATTGGATACATGCACCTGATACGTATGGTATAATCCGGCGGTGACGGCTATGTCGTGCTCGAGCTGCAATGTAATACTATTACACCGAATAAACAAAACAAAAAGTACAAAAATACCACTCCCTCTTTATGGACTTGTGCAATGTCACGAGGATACCCCACGTGTTTTTTTTACCCGTCATGAGACGAGAAGATTTCACTTGTTTGCATCATGCCAATCATGCAGGGCGTTCACCGTTCAGTTCCCAACAACGATCTCGTTACGTACAACAACGCTGAATTCTAGAAAAATACCCAGGTCTAGCTTGGATTGCATTGCAATGTGCGAGCAGAAAATTGCGACACGGCTGTTTAGATCGTTCCGGTGTCGGGGGCCACGACAATCTCATCTTATCAATCTAATCTCTCTTGCAGCTTACCCCATACCATCATGACTTAGAGACCTATTAGGAATAGTTGGGCGGAGTTGTTTGACACAGAGATATTCGGAAATAAAGGGGAGTTATCCTTTTATCAGTCTGAGTTATTTCTTTTGCATTGTACGCGTAAGTGGAAGGTTACGGTGTCATATACCCCGAGCAATGGAAATATGCCAATTTCTCTACCTGTTGTTAGCAACACACAACCCTTGTCACGTTGTTTTCGCTCTTTTGGATATCAAAAATTCGAAACATGGAAAATTCCGTCTCTAAAATGGCTACAAGATACGCCCCCAAAAGCAAGAGTCTCGTGGAATTGCGAATGCCCTTTGATAGATGCTTACCAACATGTCATTATAGACCTCAACCAACAGACTCTTGGAAATGGAGTTTTATATGATTCACAGCAAAACAACATAACAACCATGAAATGACACCTACCCAGTCCGCAAAATTCTGCCAAGATAAACAGTCTGGGAAATGCAAGATGCAATACGGCCCAGCGAGCAGGCTGTTCGCGCCATGTATGCACGGAGATATGGCACATGGCTCAACATTCGAGATTTGGCGTCCGACAATGACCAGCTTAGTGGAGACTGTCTATCAAGCATCCAGGGGCATATCCAAAACACCCAGTATTTCCTAAAGATACCAAAGTCGATGATGTCTTTACAAATGTTGCCATAATTCGAGAAAGATCAACCTGGGCTGCCACGACGGATACGAATCATGTACCGCCATTTGGTCAGGGAGCAATAGTTCAAGTAGCTTGGGACAAACCGACGCAAATAAACGCGGCTCTAATGCCCGGAAACTTAAAAGAGTCTCGAATGGACGTTGACGGTAGAGAGAAGGACCATATGCCAATATTGATCCGGGCGTGGGCGTACATCCTCTCAAAACGGCGGACAGTGTTGATTCACGAGGCACAACTATCTCAGTCTTGGTCATGTAACGTTAACCAGGACTCCGGAACACACTTTAGTACTGGTAATTCTACTATAGAGGTTGATATTGGCGAAGTTGAAGCGGATGCTGCTCAAAGGTGGAGTGTGCTGTTCTATCAAATGATGGTAGCTGGGACCCGACTATTCAAGGCTCGAATGGCACGCTCCTGTATTTTCTGTGGTCTATCAGACTAGCTAGTACTGAACAGGTCTATCGAGTTATCAAGATCAGTTTTGTAGTATGGTAAAGGCGGAAGGGATTATAGCTGAAGCAAGCCATATCTCATGGATGAGTCTCAGTTAGACAAACTCTTTACCCTCAGCCGCAACACGAGAGGGTTGAAATCAATCATATGCAGCGTCTTCTACGAACCTAGTAATGAGTGCAAAATATATGGTATCTAGTTACAATGTTCCTTTACATTTTTGAACCAATCAAGTGATGACAATGCCCTTTTACGAACCCTCATCAAACGCGATCAGGACATTAGTGCCCTTTAGACCAGTACGTTTTTAACATATGCCCGACAAAAGTGTTTAACGAGGGCTCAAGCAGCTTAATGGGACATCCATCTCAATGCAACAGCCTAGACAAACACATATATGTCTTTCGTTCAAGAACAAATCTCAGCCTTCTAAGGCCTGGAAGGTCAAGTTTCTCTTGCAGACGAATGCCGGTTACTATCCCTGAGCCCTGGAAGTTCCTATACCAGCCATCCCATTGTTGCCTTCCTCCCATTTGTACTCACAAAGCGGACTGATACCAACTTGGGTATCCGTGAGCATGTACTTTGTGGAGGCGATCACCGTCTTGTGTATCTTGGATTTACATGAATATCTAGGGATAAAGCAACGAGGAAACAAGGCTCGGAAACTGCGACATCGTTCCGCTTAAAGTGTAGCCCAACAACTGAGAGTTGCGGGATTGCTGATATTGATTACGACGATATTTACACTGAAGATGAAGACTCAGATATGGTAACACGGAACATATTCATATGGTTTCGGGTAGCGGATGGCCTCAGGGCGCAAGGAAACATCGGACCTTGATATAAGATGTTAAAATAAACTTAGTAAAAGGTATCCTCAATCTATCCTAAATTTATCACAAGTCACCTAAATCTTTTTATCATTTAGGTTCAAGATCCTAAGTTTTCTTTCCTCCTCTAGGATGGATTCCCTGCCGCTGAAAGGCAAACTCGAGAGCATCTTAAGATAGATAATTTCGAGGATGGTGACGACGATGACGTTCCCAACAACAGCTATACTGGCTCTACGGCAGGGATGTCAGGTGTTGATAGATGGTTGTTGAGAGCATCAACTCAAAGATCAAACTCAATATGGGTGGACGTAGGATTCAAACAAAACAAACTCCATTGAGACGCGGCCCATATAGTGATGCAATTTCCGAGATATCCGCATCCAAAGCAAATGGTGTCACAATCTCAAGTTCCCGTAATTCGAACAATATCGAGCCGTGTCAAGAGCAGAAATCATGTTGATATTGATTACGAAGGATCATGAACCCCCATCCCGTTTCATGAAACAGAAACAAGCCGATCCAGGGAAATAGCAAACAGGATGAGAAGCTGCAGCTACGTAAATTAAAAATGCGGCGATCCGGCCGTGCAGTATCATAGCGGCATCCAACGAGTGGCTCTCGCAAGGTAAACGGGCATCCAAGCGTGGTGAGTAGCGCTGATGCATTGATTCAATCCTGGGCTCGAATCAATTTATATTAAAAAGTCATCTCATCACCGAAGTGCATCCATCCGTGTAACTGTGTGTGCCGTTATGTATGAGCCTCAGAAGATTTACAGTCCAAGAAAGTTAGTTATAATCCCTGTTGACGAAAACACACTGGCCATGCTACTAAAATAACACTCTTTTGATACAAACACTCGGAACATGCCTATTACTACACCATGTCCCCCCCGGGGGGGCTGTGTTTGTTTGGAGGGAAAAGGGTGAGGCACAATTGCAGCATCTTCAGGAAGAGATTATGCTTGTTTTGAGTGTACATACATGGACGAAAGAGCGCCATTCGTGTGAAAACAGAGACAAATTGCATGAACTCTACAACTCAATTCGGGTCGTGGAGCTGTTTCTGAAACAAGGGTGAGGCAAGGTTGGGGAGTCATGAAACTTGGATTTGATTCATCTACAGTAAGAGACGAAGCGCTTGGACCAGGGCCTCTCTCAGCATCACCAATCTCGTCACCTGTCATCCAAGGCTTTGGTCTCTGAAGAGGAAATCTTTGCGGACGGTCTGTCCGATCTGTTACTTGGCATTGTTTTGTGTGAGAAGAGAAGTTGAAAGAGGCTGAGTATCTTGTAAGTGGTTCAGGTTGAGATCGTCAAAACAACGATGCAACTGAACCGAGATCCAAAAGTAATAGTATCGATAATTCATGATCTACTGTAATACATCGTTTACTCGTATTTCTGATATTCCCGTCATACATGGAAAAGCAAACGATAAACCCTTGTCTCCCCCATGTCTCTCGGAGTCTGGTGCGACGTTAAAACCCCGCCCCCTTGCAACCTCCACTTTATGCATATTCCCATGCATCGCATCCCTGCATACGATCCTTTCTAGAGCAACCTAGCCTTGACAATTATTCCGTTAACCTCACCTCACCTCACCTCACCCGGATCTCATCACATTGTCACATCACAAACAACGAATCTGTTTGAGCGGCAAATTAAATTACTAGGAGGATCGGCACTGGACCGAATAAACAACTTCAAACTTAGCTCTTCTCTCTAATCATCATGAGCCGTCTCATCCATATTGTTTACCAGCAAGTGCTGGCCCGTCCTATTTTTGGATCTGGCGGGAATAGTTTCACCGTTATACAGTCGGCCGTATACCAACAACCGGTGAACGCTTGCTGATTCCAAGCGAACCGAGGCAACCGGACAGAACCATCAACAAGTCCCCATCATGAGAGAACTATTTGGCTTGGCTACCATTGGCTCCCGGATAATTCATCATGACCAGATGGACGGTGACAGGGGCCGTCAATCCCTCCACTATCTGCTGAGGACGCGAGCCTTGCATCTGGGGCCCATGCTATTCTGCGTCTATCATCCAGTCCACAAGGCAACTCGTCCTAGGCCCTCGAGCCTAATATGGTAATGTCTGTCCATGCTCAGTTATCCACTTGCTTGCTTCCAAACCACGTCTCGTCTATACTGATCCTAGAATCTCGCTGAATCAAGGCACATGAGGGGGCGCCCATATCCATCACGTCTCATGTTGAGACCACTTTAATTAAGTCCCGATCGATGTCAAGGATGTCCGTTTGCTCCGCCACCCGTCAGAGTTTGACGCTGAGGTCTTTGATACTATACTGGCAAGCAAGATGCCTTCTTAAAGACAAAGCTGTCGCTGCTTCTTTGGAGTCCAACTCTTCTTCATACTCAACTCTCATTCAGTCTCTTTCCGTTTTGTTCCCAGGTTTGGGCTTCTTTTCTCAGTCGTTCCCTTTGACAGGTGCTTTGGCCGCCTTTTCCCCAAGTTAACAAGAACTTTGCTCTTTGATAGAGTATTTTCACTCATTGCCAAATCAACAAAACATCAAACCAATCTACGACTTTCCGATTTACTTCCTTCACCATGTTCATGCGCAACGTTCTTATCGCGGCTGTCAGCCTGCAGGCTCTCGTTGAGGGTGTCATTGCCCAGGAGAAGGTCACACTCACCAGGACTGTTACTCGTCAGAAGCCCAAGACTTCTGCTGGCAACCCTTATGAGGTGCCTGATGTTCCTGAGGTGACCGTTGTTCCTACCTCTTACATCACTGACGGCACCACTATCTTCGTCGACGAGACTGTCACAATTCCTTGCTCTCGATGCACAGCCTCCACTGCTGGTGATGCCGACGCTGAGGTCACTTCTGAGGTTATCACGACTGTCATCACCAGCGATGCTGGCAGTGTTTCTGACCAGACTGCTGAAGTAACTGTCATTCCTACTTCTTACATCACAGACGGCACCACTATCTTCGTTGATGAGACCGTCACCATCCCTTGCTCTAAGTGCACTGCTTCGTCTACCGCTGACGCTGGTGCTGAGGGTACTTCAGAGGCTATTTCTGAGACCGTCTCCGAGTCCGAGACTCTCTCCACTGCTGATGCCACTACTTCTGGTGATGCCGCAGCCGCTGGTACTTCTGAGGCTGTCTCTGAGGCTTCCAGCGAGACCGTTTCCGAGGCTGCTACTACTGAGGCCGAGACTCTTTCTACTGCCGAGGCCACTGACTCCGGTTCCATCACTGAGCAGACTGCTGACGTGACCACTGTTGTCCCTACCTCTTTCATCACCCGTGGTACTACTCGCTTCGTCAACCAAACCATCACCATCCCTTGCACCAAGTGTGCTGGTGGTAAGACCAAGACTGCTGCCACTGGAGTTGTTGGCGAGACCACCCTTGACACCTCTGCTGCTCTTGAGAGTACCGGAGCTACCCAGGACGCCGCCGAGACCTCCGCTCCTGTTGAGGAGACCACTGATGTCGACAACGCTACTCAGACTGCCAACACGGCCACTAATGAGGCTGACGCCAGCACTGAGACTGAGGCTCCTATTCCTACCACCATCATCCTCACTACTGGCAAGGGACAGAGCACTGTTTCCACTCAGCCCGGACCCTTCGCCAACACCACTGTTGCTGCTGGCGCTGAGACCACTGGTTCTGATGAACTCCCCGGTGCCGTTTCTTCAGAGGCCGCTACCAGCAGCGCTGTTGTCAGCAAGGTGAACAAGCCTGTCATCGTTGTTATCCGTGAAGTTACCATCTTCCACCGCACTGTCGTTATTGGTGCCGCCTGCCCTCCCGTCAAGCGTGGCAACAAGGGTGACTTCGTTGTCGGTACCGGTTCTGACGAGAAGACCTTCCCTGAGCTCGGCGAGGCTCTCACTGATGCTTGTGACAAGCAGTTCAAGGACTGCTCTGAGAACGCTGGAAAGAACTTCGAGGTCTCTGATTGCCAGAAGCAGCGTGAGATTTGCCGTGCCGATGCCTCCTCAACTGCCAAGGCTCCTACTCCCATCACCAAGGAGTCCACTGAGACCGCTTCCGTTATTCTCCCCTCTGACGCCGAGGTCACTGGCAAGACCAAGCCCGGTGTTGGCGGCCATGTTGTCATCTCTACCCGAACCCTCACTGTCTCTGAGTCTTGCGCCATCT